ATCACGTCATCTCAGAATTTCACAAATCTGGCAGCTATCACTGGAAATTACCTTGAGTGGGGCTGGAGCATATTGGAGTGAAGCCAGCCTCAACAGAGGGGGTTGGAAAGAGAGAGATAACACCCCCACCCAGCAAAGGACTCAGGTAAGGCAAGGCAAGATGAAAAGTATCAGATAAAGATGAAAAGTTAGGGGAAGCTACATCCCTTAGGAACTAAGAGGCCTTTCACTGAGGGTGGGAGGTGTTATGTACTCATTCTGACTGGCAGCAAGTATATGCTGCAGACCTACTAGGTGCAGGCATTGTGCTGGGCATTGCGGTGCTGCAGAGAACAGGATGGAGTCTCTGCACTCTCCGCTGCCCAAGTTCAGGACTAAACAAAGAAATGGGCACTTATGAGTGTGACGTGTCTACAAATGAAGCCAGGGCGGCAACCTCAAGTTGGAGATTCGGGTGAGGCCTTGTGAGACCAAAAGGAAGACATCTCGGATAAGGAAACTGAGGCTCAGGTCTCCAGATCCCTGAGTTCCAAGCCCTTGTTCTTTGGTACATGGAGCTGCTGTCATCAAATACTTGTTGATTTGCATAGCAGATGCGGTGTCACACCCAGATCTCCTCGGCTGAGCCACGCACCCTTTCAGAGGATTACCCTTGGTTGACAAATGTCTGAGATGCTATGCCCACCCCCCAGTGACTCATTCTGTAGTGTGACAGTCCAGCCCCCTTGCCATGGCTGGACAAACACTAGTGCACCTCACATTCCAGAGCTGCCATGAGCTACCATGCTGCTGGCTCCTCCCTGCCCTAGTGTGCCTCCCGTGTCCCCATCAGCCAGGATACCCCAATCGTTCACTTGCATGAGAACCCCACACTTAGGCCTCACTCTCTTCCAAGCACTTAGCAAATATGAATCATTTGGTCATCATAACATCTATAGGTCTCCCTAACGGCATTTGCACATGAATGGAGAATTCAGGAGTGTGACATGGCATGCCAGTGACAACAGATTGGAGATCTTCATTGAAGATGCTTTATCCACATGCCCACCCACAGGCCCTGAACCTCTCGTGAAGCAGGCCCATTGCATTTGTCTTTAAATGAGCCAATGAAAGGACAAGGCCAGAACTCGGAGTGACCTGAGGCCTGTCTATTTGCACTGTTAGTACTTTTTGCCTTGTAATGTTTGCCCCAGGCAGCTGCTGATTGTCCCTAAAGATCTGTGCTGGGGGTTGGGATGGAAGAGAAGTTGGTAGGGGGTGCAGGGACTCTTAACTCCCCAGCTTTGCCATAAATTGGGAAGTCTTGTATGCGTGTGTTAATTGTCAGGGAGAATAAGGCCTGTCTTTCTTACAGTCAAGCGGGGCTTTCCATGTTGGACAAAAAAACACATGCGCAC